GTCTCTTAATTTTACAGGACGTTTCTTCTTTTGTACTGGTCTCCGTCTCGTTGGCTTCTGCTTCACGTGAGATTCATCTGCTCCATCATGAAATGTCTCATTATCGATAGCAGTCACATTAGTAATACTAACTTCATTAATGGCTTCACTGTTTTTCCTTTTAAAACCGGGTACAGTTTTTATTTCGACAGTAGTTTTTCAGGTGACATGTCTTCAGCAGCATCATTTGTTCTGTTGTTCATTTCATTCCAAATGAAATTTCCTAGACCATGATAATGCCTTAGCCTGTTGGCATGCGCTACCTCTGGCTTACCTCGCCGATCACATTTTATTCAGAAAGTCACGTCTGAGTGACGATCCACTATGTCATATGGGCTTTCCCATGGTGAAGACAACGTAGGAGACTTCCCTTTGGTCTTCCTGGGATTATACAACCACACCATGTCTCCTGTTACAAAGCTGACTTCAGTAGATCTCTTATCATAACATAGCTTCATCGAATCAGCAGACGTTTTCAAGTCTGAACACACTTGATGGTGAATATCATCCATCCTTTCCGATAACACTTTCACAAACTCTGACACATTTTCAGGCAACTCCTCATAAGGTGGGCGTTCTGTTATCAGATCCATTGGAAACCGAAGTTCCTGACCAAACATCAACTTTGCTGGAGTGTATCCAGTGGCTTCATACTCTGCTGTTCTAAAGGCCATCAACAGTGGAGGGAATAAGACATCCCAGTCATCTTGGCGGCTATTACAAAACTTTGCCAATTCCTGTCTCAGTGTCCAATTGTACTTTTCTACCATCCCACCAGAATGTGTGTGAAGTGGCATTGCCTAGACTTTTGTATGCCAAACAACTTGCAACATTCATGGAACACAGCTAATTCAAAGTTACGGCCTTGATCCGAATGCAGTTCGTATGGTATACCAAATCTGAAGAAGAAATCACTAATAGTCGAAGCTACAGTTATAGCTTCCTGATTTGGTATTGAATATGCCTCAGGCCACTTGATGAAATAATCCGTCACCACACAAATGTACCTGTTTCCAGTACGAGTTTGGGGCAAAGGCCCAGCAATGTTAATGGTTACTCTTTCCATTGGTGGCCAATGTGATATAACATCACTGGAGCACGTCCCTTGTGCTTGGGTCCCCTTTTAGCACAACATGTACTGCAGGTCCTGGACTATTCTTTTACATCTTGCCTCATACCTATTCAGTAAAATCTCTGTCATAGGTGACTCAATGTCTTCTTAACTCCGAGATGTCCTCCTGTTAAAGTATCATGGGATTGACGCAGCGCAACTTCCCGTAACTTTCTCGATATATCCGTTTGGCAGGTCGTCAATTTCCCATCTCCGTTAAAGAATGCCATCTTTAAGCTTCAGCTGGTCCCATTGTGCCCAATAGTTGTTCTTTGTCACACAGCTTAGACTAGATGCCTTCTCCCAAGCATGGTGCAAAACACTTGCTTTTAGAAAATCAGTTATTAGCTTCAAATCTTGGTCTTTCTCCTGCTGTGCTTTAATATCTATACCTAGTTCTACTTCACCATCATCACCTCCTTCAGTCACTTTGATTTCAGCTTGATGACACCTGGTTAGTTCAACCTTTCTTTTAACACTTACCGGAATTTGGCCTTTGTTGTTCTCAAATGTCATTTTATCAAAATTAACTACACACTTTCTCGGTAGTAAGTAATCCAACCCTAGAATGCATTAGTCTTCAATGTCAGCCAAGTATACTTTGTGGCTGTCCTTTAAGCCTATGAGCTCAATTGTTACCCAAACTGGTCCCCACAACCTTGCATAATGTCCTGTCACGCCACAGAGCTTCTGTATGGCTTCTGGTACTCCTTTGTGATCCAGCACCTTGATGCTCAGATGGCAGGTCTGCTGAGATGCAGAATCTATGACAAACTTGCATCTTTGGCCATCCAACTTTCCTGTCACGTAGACACTGTCAACAACAATGGCAAGAAGTACAAATGGAAAACATTATTAAATTTCAAAGTGACTTAAATATATTGTTGCGTCATCGAGGTCACGTGACTGGTGTGGCGCCACCTATTTTCTAGTACTATCCTGTACCTTGGCGAATGCTCTAGTATTTTCTAGATATAGGGTAGGCTGGTATATAAAAGAGGGTGACAACGTGACGGGGGAATAATGTGTGTGTAGATAGTGAGTAATTGAACTGCAGTCAGAAGTATTATTGACGTTCGTTGATATAGCGTTTGTTTTAGCGCGATTGTTGAAAATAATTGTATCGTAAAGTTGTATTCGGAAAGAATAAACCAGTTTTATTAAGTAAGGACTTGTGGCGCTAAAGTTTCGTCGGAAAGTTAATTAACAAACGGAGACGTAACGATATGATGATTTACTTATTGTTAGTATATAAGCTCGGCAGAGAAAAGCCAGGGAGCTAAGCGAACAGTAATTACTGTGATTTCTGTGTAATTTACGATTCTGTTAGTTTCGAGCTGGTGAGCCGTAAAGTGTTTCTTGCACTCGTAGAGAGCGAAGTTATCGAGGTTGTGAATCGCTGTGATGTATAGCGTGTATTATAAAAGTTATAATAAACGTAGTGACTGTGGACTTACTGTGTACTGAAAGCTTGTAGCGAGAAAGAATAAACTAGTTTAATCAAGAAAGGATTGGTATCGCTGAAGTTCCTCGGAAAGAATTTCTACCGGAAGTTAACAAACAAGCAGATACTTAACAACACCAATATCCCTTTCTTTCGTGACAATGTTAAGATTATTCCCATCTAAATGATACATATAATTCAAATTATGATAACCCACATGCATTATTTTGCATTTATTATAATTAAAACCCATTTGCCCAGCTCACCAAATTATCTAAATCCTTGATTTAGAATAATCTGTTGGTCTTTTAACAGCTATATCCGCGACTCTTTGAGAGGTGGCAAGTACATTTTCCAAACCCAAAGACATTATCAGTTATAAACGAAGTTTTAAACTTATCCTCGAGCTTTAGGGGTAATCGATGATTTCTTTAAAACAAAGGGTGGCTTTAATTTTTATTTTCGGGGGAATGGTGTGCAAGAACAATCTTGAAAGTCCAAATGGTCTTCTAAAATAAAATTTAGATCCGCTATTACGGAACGACCACAAATGCATATAGATATAAGTTTAGACATTTTCGTGTGTCTTCTTCAGTTCAAACGCATTACCAAAATTGTTTATTGTTGTTCGTATGTTATGTTTTCAGTGATCTTAGTTCACAACATGTCTTGTTTTTATTACTTTTCTGTATATATATATATATATATATACTTTTGAATTGATATTATTTGCAAAACTTTCTTATTATATATATGAATAAAAAAAGTTGTTTTGTATAGATGACTCTGTAGTTTTTCGCGTAATGTAATTCATAAGAGTTAATACTGTGTAATAAAGTGTGCTATATAGTATAACTTGGAAATAAATAAGTTTAAGTTAGTTTGAAACTGTTGAACCACAGTTTGAAGGTTTTAAAAACTATAACATGCCAGAAAGTAAGTAAAACGCTTTTCTAATACTAAAACGTACATAGTGGTGTCATTCTGGCTAAGCAATTATTCATACCGTTTTCATTTTAATCATTACGGCTTAAGCCTAATAGTAATACAAGTAATAGTACCATCACTATTAGTACTAGTAGTATTACCATTAGTATAATAGTAATACTAGAGAGAGGGTAAATAGGATTTTAGGTTGTATCCACAGAAATATTGAAAATACGTTTTAAAAAGTATAATATCTTCTGGGTCATTGGCTTGACCACATTTGGAGTATTGCGTTCAGTCTTGAAAGTTGAATACCTTACCTTAGATTAGTTAGAATTAGAAAGGATGAGTTGGAAATGGTTCAGAGGAAGACTAGTACTAATATGGAAAGGTTATCATACAAAGGCAGGTTAAGATGTCTGAAATTGTTTTCTTTTGAAAAAAGTTAGAGGGGATGTGATTTAAGTGTTTAAGATTGTTAAGGGGATTAATAGTATTGATGCATCATCTTTTTTAATATTTAGTGGTGAGACTAGGGCCAGTAGGGCATACAAATATAAATTTGGTTAGGTGTAGGAGTCATCTGTAGCTAACTTTTATTTTTATGAGATGATCAGCCTTTGTAATGGGTTGCCATCAGATGTAGTAGATACAGTTAACTTGTGGGAGTTTAAAGAAAGGATTGATAAATATTTGAATGATAAGAGCTGACTTTAAATGTTTTATTTTTATTTCAAAGTTTAGTTAGTAGATGTAACAGCCTAGATCAGTAGATGGTCCAACAGGTCTCTCGTTTTCCTTAAATTATATGTATATGTATTGCATCACTTGCACAACACAGTAAGAGTTTTAATAGTTTGTTTTAAAAATTTTACAATTTTACTTTTTTGCAGATTAGATCAGTAATACTGTGCACTTGGAAATAAAGTATTTAGATATTTGGGAGAATTTTAAAATGAACAAGAGAATACTTCATCATAATAACATGGGTACAAGAGTATTAGTATTAGCATCTGTATGTTAAGCTATTTCACTGGAGGAAAAAGCTAATTATTAAGAAATGTCATAAAGTGAGAGACATATTGCCAAACATAATGAGCTAAGTGCTAATATTTTTATTGATAGTATTTTGATTATCATGTTTTAATTTACATTAAGTAATAACATAATGTTAGAGATCGCTACCTTGAGAAACTGTTATTCAAAAAAAAGATATTGGTATAGTTTCCCTAAGTAAACTCTAACAAGCATTGCTGTAAGAAAAAAGTTTCAAATTTGGTATCTTGAAAAAATAAAAACATGAAATTTATACAAAAATACTAAGGCCTATTAGCAAACGTTAGCATATTAATGATAGAATAAAAACACAAGTGCATTTTAATATAAATTTACTATGATATCAACAGTGTGGACTTCTTTCATGATATAATTGTAAATTAGTACCCATCAAAGTTATGTTTTGTAGATGAGTTAATTATGAAATCTACTTGTGCAATTAATGGGTGAACATGTTATGATTGATAAACATCCATTTACGTTTTCTGGACATATGTGAAGAAAAGGATTTAAACTTTTTCTGTGGGCCTTATCTCCAGGCCTTGATGAGTTACTACAAAAATTATTTTTTTCCTAGGTTTTGTTAAGGCTATATTGCAATTTGTCTATTTATACATAATTGATCATAGAGTATGTTTTTATAATGTTCTGTATGATGAAAAGTACAATGTAGAAGCAAATTTATGTATGATGGTTTTGTTTTGTTACCTCAGTAGAATGACTGATATAAAGTTTAATGTTATATTAATTTATTGATTTTTGTTATTATTTATTAAAAATTGATAATTACATTTACATTTGTAATTCAGTTACAACTTCCACCAGAACACAAAGTGGAAAGTGAGAGTTATAGTGTTGCAAGTAACATACATACAGTGTAGAAAACTGACTTTAAATTAGAAATATATCATTAAAAACAGTATATTTACTCTATTCTTCATTAAAGAAGCCATTCTGTTGGTAGTGAGTGCTGACATCTAGTTACCTTCCCTCTAGTCAGAAGTTTATAATTAAGGACAATAGTATATAGCCAAGTAGCTTTACCATAACCCCAAAACAAAGAAACAAATATAATATCCTAAAGGTGAACATGTTTGGAAATTCATAAAATTTTAAAGGGACAAAAAGGAGCATATTAGTCTCTCAAGGATGTCCCTTCCAGCCCCCAAATATAACCACTCATTACTACTCATGTATTCATCCAATCTTTTCTTGAACTCAGTTAAGTTTTCTGCCTCCACCACCCTTTAAGGCAACTCATTCCAAAAACCAACCACCATGTTTGAAAAGTATACTGCCAAAGTTTGAATTTATGACCCCTTGTCCTATTGTTTTCACTGCTAAATGTAAAAAAGATTGATCGATCTATATTATCAATACCTTAATAATCTTAAACACCTCTAAACCTATGTTTAGAGATTTTAGTCTCTCCTCATAGGACAATCTTGCAATCCTGGTATCATTTTAATGGCTCTTCTCTGAAACTTCTCCAACAATACAATGTCCTTCTTGAGGAAGGGAGCCAAAACTGTACATAGTACTCTAAATGAGGCTTTACAAGTGATCTATACAGGGAAACAATAATATCCCTTGCCTTGTATTCAATATTTGTATAGATGCTACCGAAAATCCTATTTGCCCTATTGCTAACTACAATACACTATTTAGATGACTTAAGTGAATTTTTGATCACAACACCAAGATCTTTTTCTTCAACCATAGTATTTAGTGTATTCCCTTTTAAATACAATAGTAATTTGAATTGTGAAAACCTACATGCATCACCTTACATTTTGGATAGTTAAACATCATCTACCACATAGTGGCCCAATTCATCAAATGATCTAAATCTCTCTTAGTGTGCAGCCACCCCAAAAATCTTAATGTCATCTGCAAACTTTAAAATTTTGTTAGTTATTCCAGAGTCAATATCATTAATATAAATCACAAACAGCAGAGGACCCAGCACAAAGCCCCGAGGCACGCCTCTTGTTCCTGTGATCCAGTCAGATCTAACTCCATTTATTACTAATCTCTGCTTTCTACTCTCCAGCCAATTTTCTATCTAATTTAATAACATTTTCCCCCACACTCACAAATTTAATTTCTGTAACAAGTCTTTTGTGAGGCACCTTATCAAATATTTTCTGAAAATCAAGGTAAACCAAATCCACAGTATTTTCTTTATCAACTTTTGCAGTAACATCCTCAAAGAATGTCAGAAGATTTGTTAAACAAGACTTTCCCTAAGTGAAACCATGCTGGCTCTTTGACACTATATCAAACTGCTTTAAGTGACTGTGCAATGCATCTTTAATCAACTAACTGATGTAAGACTAACTGGCCTATAAGTATAATTGCCTGGACAATGTTTATCACCGTATTTAAATATTAGCCAACTTTGAATCTTCTAATACTCTTTTCTAGTCAATGACCTATAAAAATGTTAGCTAGCAGTTCAAACCTGATATCCTCAAATCATGTATAAAAATAGTTTGGGTGAAACAAACTTGTATCTATACATAAGTTGCACACACATAAATTAGTCATTATGTAAGAGGAATATTATTCATGTACTTTCACACTTCTAGAAATATCAGTAGCCAAAGATGTTTGTAAAACTGCATTTGTGTAGTGCTGTAATTTTAAGCATTCCACCCTGTTTATAGTCAACAGGTGTCTAGGTGATTATGCTACACTTTTGTGAATATAAGGTCAGTTCATAAGTTGTGATCTCAACAAGCTGATTGATTCACTAAGCCAGGGAACCATTGTGGTGACTTCGATAGTTTCTGAAGTTGTTTTGCTGCTCATGAGAATATAATCAATGAGCAGTAGTGGATGGTATGATCCCTCCCAATGATGAGTGAAGATAAAAAAGTGATGTGAAGATGTTAAACCCACTGACAGTTATTTTAGAAATACTAATGATAATTCACAGCCTATTTCTGAGCCCATAGAACTTTTGAAATATTTGGAAGCTGCTTCGACTAGGTCAGTTTTTAATGTGATAATGACATGTTCATCTGGTAAATATAGTAAGTTCAAAAAGTTCTAAATTAAAAGGCATGTAGAATTCAAATGGTTTATCAAATTGCTATAGATTAATATGAGGGAATATAAATTAAAAGAAATAGTACTTCAGCAACATTTGAATTACAAACTGTTTAGTGTTGTATACCAAGTAAACATTTGACCTCAACAAACAACATTAGTTTTATCTACTACAATTAATGCTACATGTCTGATTGATTAAAACTAATTCAATACAGTTATACATACAACTGTACCCCAACTTTTTGTTTGTACACTCAAAAAATGGTCATTGAGGGTACAGTGTACCCCCTTATGCAAATAGTAATGGGGAACACTGCTAACCATATGTCATGTTAGCTAAAACACTTAACTAATCAAAAAAATAGTAAGAAGAAATTATAATGGCAATATTTCAGTTACTGGGTAGTTGAAATAATCAAAAATAGTTAAAATCTAAATCACTAGTTTTGATTAGTTGATTACTTCATGAGATGTAAAACTAATTGATTAAATTGAACAAAATTTAATTAAAAATAGTGTTGGTCATTTTGTAATGACACTGAAATTAATATTACTTTTTTAACATTTAACACTGACAGAATGCTTACTGGCATGCATAAACAAAGTCAAAAGAAAGCTGAATGAATGACAGTGTATGAAAATAAATGTTCTTAGCAAAAAATGAAGGAATTTCATCTCACATTATATTTTCAATTCATTATCTCAAGTTTTACATAACTGAACAGAAATAAAACATTTTAATTTTACTGAACCCTGCATAGGCCTAAAACACTACTAACAGTGAGGATAGCCAACTGATGACCTAAGGTAGAGTGGCCCTAGAAGCTTTTGTGGTTTGCATGTTATTAATTACTATTAATTGTTATTGTAGATTTAAAAAATCTTCTTGTAGAATATTTTACATAATGGAATTGAATTTGTTGTGTATATATTCCCAAAATTGTAACATGAGAAATTATTTTACTAGATGCTGATATGTTATTGAATTTTATACGAGATTGTCTAAAGGAATATAAATTTTGAGAAAATATTCTTTCTACACACCAGTATGAATTCCAAATTAGCATTAAACTGTGCGATAATACTGTATACAAACAGAAAGAAAGGACATTTATGTGTATAGCAGGAGATATTGAACATAAATGTAAAAATAAGAATAATCACATTATACTTAGTTCTAAAGAGTAAGAACAGTCATTTAGATGCATTTTATTATATCAACAGGGGACAATGAACCATTTTCCAATCCTCTCCCTCCAGCAGGCTTGGACTTGCGACGTGCAGAAGAAGCTGACATGTAAGTAGTCAATACAGGAAATGAATGAAGTTGTTAATACATTACTTGTCACTCTGGTTTAAGTTGGTAGAGAAGTATCTCAAACTTAGATGTTAGTATTATGCATTGCAAATCTATTAATAACAAGATATATTAGTTTAAAAAGTGTATTGTGTATGAAATGATTGTATTTTATTAGCATTTTCAGTGAGTTAAAATCCTTCAAAATATGTGCTTTTCCAGCATGGTGTATATCAGCTATTGGAATAACACATGCCTCACCCTATTGGCTCAGTGGAATGTCTGTAGACTTGTAACGCTAAAAACTGGGTTATGATACTCTTGGTTGGCACAGTACTGATAGCTCATTGTATAGCTTTGTGCTTAACTACAAACAAACTTCCAAGAATAACACATTTTCTGCACAAGTATATTTTGTAAATATTCTGGAAAGATAAATACTGAAATTAAATAAAAGCAGCATTCTGAATGTTTGCCAGTTCCTCAAAACTATGAAGTAAATGGACATGGTTGCTGCAAATGTAACAGACCAATCAACAGAGCTTGAAAACATAACAGGCCAATCAGCAGAGTTTGCGAACATAATAGGCCAATCAGCAGAACTTGCAAACTTGCAAATTGCATTAGTTTTCATCCTCATAAGATATTGAGGTCAAACCAATCTTGATAATGGAGTTGGATTTTACTTACATTCAATTTCTTTTTTTCTCATTAAATATTTAGAGTGGGGTTTCCTCAGTGTTACATTCTCCTAAAAATCATGTCATGGTGTATCAGATATAAACAAAAAATATTACTGTATTTACTTCCCACTAGATGAAACAGCTTTTTTGTTTTCAGCCTGTATAAATAAGAGTGGACTCTGAACATAAATTAATTTTTTAAATATGGAAAATACTTGCACATGAAAAGTGAGTGTTATTTAAGATACAGGAATGGATGAAATTCAAGGAAAATTTTTAACATACTTTAAATATGTTAAAATAATTAATGATCAACATTATATA